AAGTATCCCTTGCTTTCTTGAAATAAACTGTTATGGAAAAAAAGATTTTGTACTGAGAAAAGCAGTAAGATAAGTAAGATAGTTATTGTTGTATTTAACATAACTTAGAACCCACACTTAAACTATTATTTTATAGTTTTACATTCTTTTTTAACCCATTCAGTGGAGAATATCAAACTTTCTCCAGTTGTATGATAAATCAGTTCTCATATTACCAAGAATCAAAGATAAATGTGAAATAAACATAGAAATAAGTTTTGTGGTGTTAATTAAAAATAAAAGACTTGCAAAATGAAAAGAATCACTTTCTCCTTCCACTACACATAATGGTCACTTCATAAACTTTTAATATTTGTCCTGAATTTTAGAAATAAAAGTGACATTATAATGGATTTCCAATTGCTTTATCTGTCTGCTGTCTGTGTATCTATCCATCTATCTATCTATCTATCTATCTATCCACTATCCATCCATCCATCATCTATCTTCTATCAATCAATTTTTAATATCACCTATCACCTTTCTTTCTTCTATTATTTCTATTCTTCCCTCTCTTATCATCTAAACTCCATCTAAACATAGCCTTATATGTGTATCAGTATAAAGTATTTTATTAGTTCAATAATAATTTCATACAATATATTTTGGTCATACTCACCCCTCTTCTAACTTCTTTCAGATGCATCCTCTCTTCCCTACCCACCAAACTTTGTGTCCTCTTAAAATAATATCTTTGCCTCCTCATACGTATCCTGACCACCCTCCCATCCTCTAACCCCAATTCCACATGTAGGGCAATGCCATCCAGGTGGGGTCATGTAGATCTGACAGGTCCTGTGAAGTAGGGACTAGGACTTCTGTCCTGTCTCTAGGTTAAGGCAGTATCCCTCCATGGGTGATGTGTCCCTAAGGTCCTTTTGTGCACCAGGAATCTTGGTTCCATTGTCTGAGACTCCTCAGTCCTTCTAGCTGAGATCCATATTCAGTGGGGCCAGAGTCTGGCCCATGCTGGATTCCAAGCTATCAGTCTGGGGGCCCGTTAGCTGTTCCTTCTTCAGTTCAGGTGTCTCTATGTGTTTCTGCAACCTAGTCATGTCCTCTCCATCTGCATCTGGATTCTAGTTCGTCTCAGTGTTTAGTTATGGCTGTTGGCTTCTGTTTCCAACAGGTACTAGATGAGGGCTCCATGATGGTGGATAAGTTAGTTGTTGATCTCACTATTCGGGAAGGGCATTTATGGTAGCCTTTCCATGGTTTCTCAAACTGTTAGATGGTGGAAGTCTTGTAGTTCTCTAAACCATTCTTTGTGTTCAGTTTTCTCTTCAAACCAATAATGGCTCACTCTTTTATGTTTGCTCTCTCTCTCTCTCTCTCTCTCTCTCTCTCTCTCTCTTTCTCTCTGTCTCTCTCTCCTGTCTTCTTTCTTCTATTCCTACCCTGACTCAATCTTCCTAGTCGTACATGCTTTCCTCTCCTCCCCTTCTCTTTCTCCTACTTCTCTCTCCATTCACTGCCCCCTCCCACTTCCCATGTGTTCTGGGGGACTTGTCCCTTCCCCCTTCTGTGAGGGACTTTATATGAATCTTTTAGAATACACCTTGTATCCTAGTTCCTCTGCTGGTGGGAATTACAGGCTAGTGATCCTTTGCTCTAGGTCTAAAATCCACATATGAGCGAGTACATACCATGTTCCTCTTTTTGTGACGGGGTTACCTCATTCAGGATGGTTTCTTCAAGTGCCATCCACTTGCCTGTGAATTTCAAGATTCCATTATTTTTTTCTGCAGAGTAGTATTCCATTGTGTAGATGTGGCACATCTTCATTAACCATTCTTCAATTGAGGGGCATCTAGGTTGCTTCCAGATTCTTGCTATTACAAATAATGATGTTATGAACATAGTTGAGCACGTGTGCTTGTTGCATGGATTTGAATCATTTGGGTATATGCTTAAGAGGGGGATTGCCGGGTCCTGTGGTAAACTAATTCCCATTTTCCTGAGGAACTGCCATAGTGATCTCCAAAATGGCTGTACAAGTTTGAACTCCCACCAGCATTGGAAGATTGTTCATAAAATATTGTATTTTTAAGAAAATAGGATTTTCATAGGCATGCCCATAGACATATCTTGCAGGTGGTTCTGGATTCTGTGAAGTTGACAATTAGCATTAATCATGACACATCTTAACCCTGTTGGTTCCTTTTCTTTGCAGAGATTTTTACTGTTACAATCTTGCTTGTCAACTCTTGTTTATATCCTGAGCTACTGATGGTCTATCCAGGAAATCATTACATATACATCTCTCTTGGAATATTTCCCTTATATTTTTGTTTTGGATCTTAAATTTAAAATGAAATTAATTTGGAACAGAATTTGTACAAGAGGAGGCACAAGAGCCTTGATTCTCTCCTGTACATGCAGATAACTTGTGTTCCCAGCACATTGTGTTAAAAAGAATGTCCTTTCTCCAAAGGATGGTTTTGCTACATTTATTGAGTATCAGTTTGCCAAAACTGTATTTCTTTCTGTGTCCTCTCTTTAGTTTCATTATGTTGTTTTATCTATGTGGAGTGTTTTTAGTTCTGTGTGAATTTCAATATTTCAGTTTTACCCTGTTCAGTATTATGCTGGCTTATGGATTTGTTATATAATGCCCTTGTTTGTGGAGATACAATCCTGCTATATGTAATTTATTTGTGGCTTTTATTGTGAAGGGATATTTAGTTAAATGAAAGGCTTTTCATATGACTATTGATATGATCATACATTTTTATACATCTGATTACATTTGTGAGCTGTATTACATTTACTGAAATACTTACATTGAACCATTCACACATTCTTCAACTGAAACCAATTTGATCAAAGTGAATGATAGTTTTAATGTACTTTTAACTTCGATTTAAAAGTATTTTGTTGCATTTATGTTCCTAAGAGGTACTGGAACAAGCTACTTTTTGGTTGTATTTTTTCCAAGATTTAGTAACACAGACATAGTGGCTTCATAGAATGAATTTTGCTGTGATTGCTTCTCTTCCTATTTTATAGAGTTTTATTTTGAGGAACATTGGTATTATTCCTTATTTACAGAGCTCTGGGGAATCCATCCATTCCTGTTTTTATCTTTGTTGGGAAACTCCTTATTACAGCTTCAATATCACTACTTGTTACTGATTGATTAGTTATGCCTTTGATCCAGTTTTTATAGCATATGTATCCACTTGTAGATTTTCCAATATATTCACATGTTATTCAACGAAGTAGTTCCCAATGAGCCTCTGAATTTCAATTGTATCTGTTACTTGTTTTTAAAACTAGTTTTACTTACTTGTTCTTTTTCTCCCTTTATATCAATACGTTTGATAAAATGATTCTGATTCTCTTTATCAATTTCTAATAACCACCTTTTAGACATTAATCTTTTTTTACTGTTCTTTTAATTTTTATTTCATTATTTTTGCTGTACATTTTAGCATTTCTCTCACTGATATAGAATTTAGTTTTTGGCCTTATCTTTTTTTAAATCCTTGGGATGCATTTCAGGTATTTATTTAGAACTCTTTTTATATTACTAATATAGGCACTTCCATTTGACTTCTTCAGTAACTCACCAGTCATGAAATACTAAGTTGTCTAACTAACCACAGCATGCATGAATAGATTATTCAGTTTCTTTTGCTATTGATCTCTTTTTAAATTCCATTGAGATTATATACAATATAATAAATTATTGTATTTTAATTCCATAGTATTTTCTCTGAGGCTTAATACATGGTGTATGTTAGAATAATGTACTAACAATCAAATTTGTATTCTGCAGCTGTTGAGTGGAATATTATGCAGATTGTACTACATACAGTATTATTTTGATGTCTTAACTAATTGTTTTGAAGATCTATTGTTTTCAGGGAGTATATTTGAATCAGGGTATTGAAGTAATCCGCTATTATTTTAATGAGGCCTTATGACTTATTGTGGTTCCAGAAACTAGGGATATCAGCATTGGCAACATATATATTTATAGTAGTTGTATCTTTTTTTTACAATGCAGAGACCAAATTCAGATCCTTGCATATGTCAGACAAGCACTCTACTACTTTCTAACCCTTAGTTATATTTTCTTCATTTACTCAGTGTATACTGATATTTTTTAATGTCTTAAAGACTATTTTGCTGGTTATGATTATGACTACTCTTGCTTGATTACATTTGCTTGGGTTATCATTTTCAATATTTTCACTCAGTCTGTTTCTTTGCAGACAGATTAATTTCTTGTAAACAACATACTTCTGGAATATGTCTTAGCCCAAGTAGATTTTCCGTGTCTTTTAATTGGAGAATTAAGATTATTATACTCATTGTAAAAACTGGGTAATAACTATAATTTTATTCTTCTTGTTTCAAATATTCTGAGTTCATTTCTTCTCTCCTTTTACAAGTTTTGTGTTTTGTTGTACTGGTAATGTTTGATTCCTTTCCTTTTCTCATTTGCATGTCTACTCTTATAATGGGATATTTTCATTCTGGAGCAGTCATGTTTCTGCCTGTTTCTTCCTCTTTTGAGTGGAGGTTTCCTTAAGCACCTCTTTAATGCTCGTCTGGTGGTCCTGCATTCCCACAATTTGTGCTTTTCTGAGATCATATTTTACCTTTTATTCTGGAGGGTAATCTTGCTGTGTATACTAATCTCGGTGGAAAGTTGTTTTCTTTGGGGACTTGAAAGGCATCATCAGTGCCCTTCTGTCCTTGAAAGTTTCACATGAAGTGACAATCATCTGTCTGAACCTGGTGGGTGGATTCAGAGGAGGGTGGAGGAGGAAGGCACAGGACACGATGCTCCTGGGAAGATGCTCCTTGGAACTGGGCTGGAGCCAGGAGAGCCCTAGTTGGGCACAAGGGCAATCAGACTGTAGCCACCAGGAGGACCCATCTGTTCCTAAAGCCCACCGGAGGTCCCAGCACAGAAAAGCATCAGATTGGAAACTCCAGTAGTCCTGTAGAGTACTGGAAGTTGGTTGAGCCCCACACCCTGTGTGACCCCCACGGGACGGAAGCACCCCTGTACTAAAAAAGAGCTGAGAAGAAAGAAGTGTTTAGTCGCCAGCCAGAGACTAACGGATGCTCAGCTGCACTACATCCACCATGCCTGGGATGATCTGCAAGAACTCAGACCTGGAGTTTGACTCGCTGAAGCCCTGCTTTTATCCGGAAGAAGATGACGTCTACTTTGGCGCTCGCGACTCGACGCCTCCTGGGGAGGACATCTGGAAGAAGTTTGAACTGTTGCCTACGCCTCGGTTGTCACCTAGCCGTGCTTCGGCGGAGCACAGCCTGGAGCCAGTGAACTGGGCCACTGAGATGCTGCTGCCTGAGGCCGACCTATGGGGCAACCCGGCCGAGGAGGATGTTTTTGGCCTGGGAGGACTCCGGGGCCTCACCAGCAACCCGATCATCCTTCGGGACTGCATGTGGAGTGGCTTCTCCAACCTGGAGAAGCTGGAGAGTGCGGTAAGTGAGAAGCTGCCAGACCGCTATGGGTCCCTGGCTGCTGGCCCCAGCACCTCAGCCCCTGGAGCGGCAGCCACCGCCAGCTCTGAGGGCCACGCGCGCAGCGGAACCGCAAGTGGGGGGCGTGGGAAAGCCGCCTGGCTCACAGAGCTCGCCCACCTGGACTCGGAGTGCTTGGACCCCGCTGTGGTCTTCTTCCCAGCGAATAAGCGCGAGTGGGTGCCTGTACCGGCCATCCCAGCCAAAGCCGGCACTGCGGGAACTGTAGTCAGCTGTGGTGAACACCAGGCCTTCAGTGCCTCCCGAGAGGGCATCCTGAGCAACTCAGGTACTGAGGAGGAAGATGAAGAGGAAATCGATGTGGTCACGGTGGAGGAGACCCAGTGCTCTAAGACTGTCACCAGGCTCCCCACCGTGGCGCGCCCTGAGAAAGCAGCTTTCGGCCCTGGGCGCGCGCAATCCAATGAGCGGATCCTCAAGCGCTGTATCCTCATTCATGAGCAGCACAACTACGCTGCACAGCCTTTGCCCTGTGTGGGCAGGGAGGACACACCGCCGCACAAGAAACTCAAGAGCGCTGCTTCACTAGGGTCCCTCAAGTGCGTCCTCCCGCTGAAGCCCACGAGATTGGGTCCACGCAACTCACACTTAGAGGACATTGAGCGTCGCCGCAACCACAACATGATGGAGCGACAACGCCGTGACAGTATGCGCTCCAGCTTCCTGAACCTCAGGGACCTTGTGCCTGAGCTGGTGCACAATGAGAAGGCAGCCAAGGTGGTCATCCTGAAAAAGGCCACCGAGTACATCCACACTCTGCAGGCTGATGAGTATAAGCTCCTGGTGGAAAGGGAGAAATTGCATGCAAGACAACAACAGTTGCTGAAGAAAATCAAACACTCTAAAACATACTGAACGTTTCTTTAATATCTTTAATGGACAGTCACTGCTACTTTGCACATGTTGACTTGATAACAAAAACTACTGTGTTGACATTAACAATGTTGGTTTACCTTCAAAATGGTCCCTTGTCAAGTTTGGAGCTGGATAGGGGGCAACTCATGGAGTTCTAGTGGGGCCTTGCAAAATCTAGGAATAGGATTCTAGGTGACTTCTTTCTTTCCTCTAACCTCAGTGATGGCCATAAAGGGCCAGGACAGTTGGCAACATTGGAAGGCTATTGCAGTCATGATGACTCCAAGATTCCAGAGTCACTTCTCCTTTTTATAGGAGTGATTACATTCCAATAGATGCCACAGGAATGGATTCGTCTTTGGATGTTCTTGGGGTGACATTCCTGTAAATTCCATAGACTGCCCCACCAAGAGGTCAGTATTACACTGGAAGTTCACACCTAAATATCCTAATAACACCTCAGTGCTTGAGGAGCATGTTTTGTATACAGATATATTGTCCATCTCCGTTAACGTACTGTTCGAATTCTTACACTGTCTGTACTTTAGTATGATGCTGATCCGTAACTAAATTTGATATTTATGTTCACTTATGAAAATGAAGAGTGAAGGTTTTTAGTATATATGACTTTATCGATTTTTGAAGTAAGAAACTTTTTAAAAACAAATTATAAATGTATATGTATATTCCCATTTCTCCAAGTTTATGTATTTATGTTAGTGAATTTGCCCATGTGTGATGTGTACAAATGAGTGAATGCAAAGTTGTGTGCTTAATTTCTACAAAACATGTGCACTTTGAAATACCTCATGTTATTATGAAATAAATAGCAATTAAATAATTTTTAAAAGAAACTTTCTGTTGAGAGAAATGCTTTTCAAGTACTTATTTTACCCTTAAATGTGATTTGCCATTTCTGTTTCACAGATTTTAATATTCTTTCTCTGAACTGCACTTTTGGTCATGACATGGCTGTAAAGGGGTTCCCTCTTGATCAGATCCATTTGAAACAAACACCTCTTGTACTTGCATATTCACGGTTTTCATAAAATATGGGAAATTTTGTGCTATACTCCACTGAACTGGTTTAATATACTCTTTGCCTTTAGCTTACCATCCTCAGGTATGTCAGCGAGTCAGATGTTTGGTCTTATAATGGTCTCATAAAGATCTTATGTCTCAGAGATCTGTTTTGTCTTCAGTCTTCTTTTTTCACTATTCTTGTGTGAAAATGTGATCACATTGTCATGTTCAAGTTCAGATAATCTTTTGTCTGTTTAATCCAGCCTATTTGGGCTTTCAATATTTTTAATGTATATTAAATATACCAAATAATGGATTCATTGTAACATCTTTATATGCGTATATAAAGTAAAATGTTAATATTTAACATCTACTATCTTATTTTGGTCCTTTCCTCATACAGTAATTAACCTTCAATATTTCTGTCTTTTCAAACCTTGGTTCTACATATGACAGAAAACACTAAGCTTATTTGTTCAGCATTACAATCTCCATTTTCATACCAATAATGTAGCTTCATTCATTGTATGGCTGAATATACTTCATTGTGTATATATATCTATCTTTTAAAAATTTATATAGATGATTTTATCACTTTTATATGGCTTCTCCAAGGTGTTATTTTTATGGTGGTATTTATTTTTATTTTTGTGTTTGTTAGAGAATTTAATACATAAATGTATAATCACACTTCCCTTATTCATTTATTATTGGTCTTAAACTAGGACAATTCTTTGACCTGGCTTTTGTGAACAGTGCAACAATGAACATGGGGATCTGGGGATGTGTTCTTCATGGGAATGTTGGTTCTTTTGAACACACACACACACACACACACACACACACGTGTTATGGGGATATCATAAATAGTTCTACCATTACTCCATATTAATTTCCATATTATATGAACTACTTTGCATTACTGTTGAAAGTGTAATCAGTGTTCTGTGGTGATATCTTGCTTATACAAATAAAGCCTTTCTGAAAGTCAGAGAATGGAACTTTCCACTAGCTAACCATAGAGATCTGGAGGACTGTACAGAGAGGCAGGAAGTGAGGTAAGTGGGCACAATCAGAATATAAGCAGGGAGGAACAGGAATTTGTTTATAGTCTCCTGAGACACGAAGGAGGTAAGGTGTGATGGTGGCTTGCTCCTTCTCTCTGTTCTGTCAGCATTTTCCTATATATCTGATGCCAGATTTTTATTATCTAGACCAATTAAGAACTACATTTACAGTGTTCTGTGATGGGTATGGATGTATAGCCTTCTCTACTTCTTGGAAACCATCTGTTAAATTTATTGGCCCATTCGGTGATAGAATTGCTTATTTTTCAGTCAGTGTTTAACTCTATTACCTATTTGCGTATTATTGACAGTTATATATTTTATTGAAAGAACAGTTGGCAGAGATTCCTCTCACTTTGAAGGTTATATATAGACTGGTAAATTGATTGCAATGTTTTGAGTTGGATGGAATCCTAGTTAAACATTCTATTGGAGAATTATTCAGAAAGTTGTTGCATATGCTTATATCTTAATGTATTTTCCTATGCTCCTTTCAAAGTTTCTACACACATGTTAAAGGCATTCATCATTTTGAATAAAATTATATATAAAATAAGAGAAGTATTCCACATATGACTAGTTTTCACAGCATTTAGTTGTTATAGAGGCTATGTTTATGAGACTTTAGTCAAAACCAGGTATCTATAACTTCATGGGATTGTTTATTGAATCTATTCAATTAGTCTACATGCCTGCTTTTGTGAAACGACCATGAGTTTTTTTTTCTATTATGACTCTGTAGTATGATTTCAAACTGGCTTTAGGGACATAGTCAACATTGCTTTTGATTCCTTCAGGATAACATTGACTTCACAGTCTTCTGTGATTTTATAGGAATTTTAGGAGTTTTATTGTTTGGTGTTTATTTTCTTCTATTTCTATGAAGAATATCATTGGAAATGTTAAAGTAATTACATTCAACCTATAGATCATACTTTTTAATATTGCCATTACATGGTATTAGTTTGCTAATTCATGAGAACACATAATCTCTTCATTTTATGATATCAAATTCATTTTCCTTCTTCCAGGCTTTATGATTTTCACACACACACACACACACACACACACACACACACACTATGGCTTCCAGTTTAATGTTGTTATGAGATTCTTGCGTTTTGAAGTGGGTGTGTCTCTGTTTCTTGTGCCTTTTCTTCAGATTTTTCCACGTCTCTCTTTTTTTGTTTTGTCCAAACCTGAACTGTTAGTTTTTATTTTGTCTCATTATACTTTCATATTACATATATGCATCTATTTTATACTATATTAATCACTCAGAGACTTATTTGTTTCTAATGAAAGACAGAAAATTGTGGATCCAGATTGTAGAGGAGTAGGAGAAGAACTGGGAATAGTGGAGGAGGAGAAACTATAATCTGGAGATATGTGAGTAAAGAATCTATTTTTATTAAATGGGTAAAAATGTAACATGTCCTACTCAATTGTTGCACTAGACACTGACAGTGAAATAACTACAATGCACTTAACATATTTCCTAACTACCTACTACTACTCATTTTTGTAGCTCAGATTCACTTGGTTCCAATTTGGTGGGCTCATGGTTCCAAAAAATATTATCTTTACTTTTTGATTTTTTAATTTATCATCACATAACCTTTCAAATATATTCTATCTGTTTTAATGTTGCTAAATTATTTCTAATTTATATGCTTACATCGTTTATATCTTCATTTTGGTTAGTTTCATTAAGAGTTTGTCAATATTTTTGAATTGTTAATTCATTATTTCATAGCATTATTCATTTAGATTTTTTCATTAATTTATACCAAATTATATCTTTATGTGTAGTATGGTGCTTGATTTGCTTTAGTTTGAGATACAATATTTGATTATTTCAGTTAAATGATTACTTATAACTCTGTAATGTCTCACTAATCTGAAATTTATTATTCAATATCTACATTAACATAATTTCTATAGTTTTCATATCACAAATTGTGCTATATTCTTCAAAAAGAGTAATGGAATTCTGAAAAGAATATATATTATATATATGGTAGATGGACTATATGAACATATGTTAAAAAACATTTGATCTATGATCTATTGTTCTGTTTTTTCCAAAGCTTTATTTGTTATAATTATCCTTTAATTTTGGGGTAAGTGAATATATCAGTTACTGTGATTTTTGTTGCTGTGATAAATTACCATGACAAATACAACTTACAAAAGGAAGGGAGTCAAGAAAGGTATGTCAGCAAGCATTCAGCAATAGCAGCAAGCTGAGAGATCACATCTTCTACAACAAACATAAAGCAGAGAAGGCAAACTGGAAGTGGGGTAAGGCTATGAGCTATATCAAATCCAGCTCCCAGTGATGTTATTCCTATAGTAAAGGTGTACTTCCAGAATCTTACATAAGCTTTCCAAGCAATACGACCAAGTGGGTACTACGTATTCAAGTACCTGGGCTTGTGAGGGACATTTCTCATTCAATCTACCACTGTGGGTTTATTAAGTACATGACAAATAAATAATAAATAAATAAATAAGACAAAATAACAAGTAACAAGTCATTAATAAACACAATAGAGAGCAAAAGACACTTAAACCATCAAATAGTTTGCTATTTATGTTATTGTCAACTTGACACAAACTAGTCATCTTGGAAGAGGTAAACACAATTAATAAAATGCCTCCATCACACTGGGTCCTCTGCAAGAGCAGCCAGTACTCTTAACCTCTGAGCTATTTCTCCAGCTCCAACACTATGTAATTGTTCTACAGGTTGTTGTAGTTGTGATAAAGACATTTAACTTTTGGCATTTTAATACTGTGTAGAAAATTCATCCCCATTTAACTTTTCTTTTCCATCGAAATTTTAAAATATAATTATCTCAATTATTTGGTCTATAAGCAGAGTACTATATGAGATATTACAATTTGTGCTTCA